GTAGCATCTTACTCATCCTTGTCCACACAACTAGAACTATCATCGGTGGCCTTAGTGGCGACTGACGGTTCGGTTTCAGCGGAAGGCGCACCAGGAAAGACAGGTTTCTGGCCTTCCGAAGGTAGATCGTCAACCTTAACCTTTGAGAGGTCTAAGAACTTTCCACTAACGGTGACAGCAAGAAGGAAGATCAGAAGAAATTTCATCTAAAAATTAAAATCATAGAAAGGAATTCGGAGAGCTGAAAGCGCTGCAAAGGCGAGTTCAATAACTTAAAAAATTAAAGCCAGTAGATAAAACGCTCCATGATATCGTGCTGACTTATGGATGTGCCGTGCACTTCACTTTCGCTTATGACTGACGAGGAGAAGCCAGTCTTTAAATTACTATTTTACCTCTTAGAAAGTATGGATGCCAATGAATCGATCCTAGAGGGGTACCATTTTCCGAAAACCCGCTCCGTGCAAGTTGATGCGCATTGCCTTCGATAGTGGGCAAACCCAGAATCCGTTGTGACCAGCAGATGGAGAAGTGCTTTTATCCTCCCATACGTCTGGTACCAATTAATCGATCCGGGAGCGGTGGAAGGCTGCTGGTCTGGGTGGCTCTAAGATTGAATCCCTGTATTATTCATGTGATAGTGCATTACTTCCCACACTACACCACCTCAGCCTAGGAATCCTGAGTGACTACTGGAGATGGAAGTTATCGGAAACAGGTGCTCCAAAGCAATACAAAGGAAAGGGATCACTGAAAGACGACTGAAGTATGCTGCTCCCTTCATGGTGATCATTTTATACAGAATTTACTACAGCGGTTTCATCATTGTATCTAATGTTGAACAGCTGAGAAAAAATCAGATGTCAGGCTGTACATTGCAGAAAAGTAAACGCAAGCTGTTCACTGGCATTTCCTATCCATTTAGTAGTACTACCAGAGAACAGGCATTTTTGTTTTCTTTACATTACTTGAACTAGAAAATTTCGGAATTGTAACGTCCTGACATTACACATTTCCACATATTCAAGGGTTTGGAATTCAGCAGTCCCGACCCTTTACAGTTCTCGTTTCGGAACGTCGATGGTTCGGCAGTTGCACTTGACCCATTGAATTCCATATGCGGCTTTTTCGAAAACTCATTGATTAATGTTTCTTACCACTTTGTAGTGTGGCTTACAACATGAAAACTGCCAACGTTCCGAAAGAACTGCCGTGGCCATGGACGAGAATGTGAAGACTCTGACCTCCGGTGATCTGGTTAAGCGCCTAGAGCCAATGTGTCATTTCAATACAATAATTTCCAGAACTTAAAGACATCCCTTAGCATAGTAACGAACCTTTTGCAGTTCTACCTAAATGGGTAAGAAAACTAGGGACAAATAAAGCGAAAAGGTTGTAAGGTTTACTCACTCTGGAAGAGCAATCAGTTCATTTAATCTGCTTGGAATTCGGTTACGTCGTTGGGTACGCTTCTAAGATACTGCCAGAACCGAATTCATCCAGTACGCAGAAATCTTTACCTTTACTTTCGAAATCACTAAGGAATTTACAGTAATTGTCGAGATACGATAGCCGCATGCCGTGGGAGATACTGAGTTCTTCCTCGAAGCTGTGTCCTAAAAGCTCAACCAGTGGTCCGAGCCTGTACAGCCCGAGGCTGTGCGTTCTGCCCATAGCTCAACATAGCTTCCTTTTCTAGCTTCGCTCACATAGTTTGGATCTACATTTTTCGTCGAGAATCGTCAAAATTTTTTTAGAATTCGAAAAAGAACACTGCCACATAAGATAACATTTATGCCTGCACCGTCAGGATGATGTAATATTTCCCATTGATGTCATACGAGGATGGCTGGATAAGCAATCGACGCGAAGCATTTTTTCGTGTTGTGTTTGCTGAAATTTTATGTCAGTTTGATTATCTGGCATGAGGTCGTCCAACACCAACGCACAGAGAGGGATCACTTCCTCGGGATCCGCGTCGTCACTGAATCTCACTTCATCCGAAATGAGGCCTCGCAATTGATTGTCTTCATTGACTTGCTTTGACATAGGCTGAATCAATTGTAGTGGACTCTTTATAAAAGCTCTGCAAACAGCTAGCTTGCGGAGTGGGTGGCCGTGTGGGGAAGAAGTCTATACTTGATGATTCTGCTTGTGGTGACGGGCTAGTGGCAACGTCTTCAGTTCCTTGAACCAATTTCCCATACTATCGTCCGTATAGCACACAGTGGTGGTGGCCTATGAATGAACCCAATAAGGGGGATAATGACGGATACTCCGGCAACAGTGATATTACAAAAAAGGGGGTGTAGGCTCTCCTACTAGAACGGCTTGCAGCTCTCACCGCACTCGATCAGGCGCAGCAAAAGGGACATTTGATTTTGCTGTCGAAGATTACGGTAACTACTTAGAACCATTACTGCTTGCCAGGTAACGGGTAATTCGGGTACAAGAGTCACCTCCATTATTCTCGTTTGCGAGTTGTGAGGAAGACAGCCTCACCGCACAATTTTGCTGCGTGTTCTTCTACCGGACCGCATTCAGAATTCAATGAACCGCTTCTTTACTAACATCTGAGCTGTATCCATTTCGCTCTCAATCAATAGAGAAGCTTGTGAATAGATTTTTCACAGGTTCCGATCAGTTTATCTGGAGCATGTAAGAGACGGTGAAAGCTTGTGGATAGCTTTCGCGACTGTTACAAGTAGAGAAGTGGCCAAAAAGGAATCTTTGTAGTTTACATAACAAAGTGCAATGTAGGGTTCTCGTGTTTCCGCAGCTGTTCACTACATTAGTTACAATACGGAAATAATGACGAGAATCTGGATTCTGTGCATAAAAGACCTACGAAGGGAGGAAATTGATTTCATTTTGGCTGTCATTTGATTTTTTCTCTCTCCTCGGAAACCTGTTCACTGGCTCAGCCCTTTCCCACGTACAGTACTGATTATTATATGACCCGAAACTTCAAAGCCACCATGTTACTCACAAAATCCTTCGGGTACATAGTCTGTCACAGAAGATCCTGACTCACCATAAAACCAGTCGTAACCGATACATAAATTCGATGAATCCTAAGAATGTTACCCATAACAAACCTTGCATATTGCGGGTACATGGGGTTTCGCACTGAATCTGGTGCAGCTTGCTTCTCACGAAAAATTTGAAAAAGAAGGATTAAAAGATGAAGTTACTGAGCCGTAAACCTGTTCGCTTTCCTTCTGAATGCCACTGTCAGCGGTGAAAACCCCTATAGACTGAACTTGCACTCTTCTATGAGCAGAAAGGTATTGGAGACAATCCGAACTAATCCTATTTCTCGCTCCAAGCAGATAATGAGGAGGGCGGCCTATCAGAGTTGTAAGAGTTAGGGTTTTGAATAAAATTCCCGATGCACTAAAGTGAAAAGGCGCTGAGATGGGATTATAAGCGACTTGTCGAATACAATGAACCTGGGGGTAGGTTAGTTATAGTACCAAACCTGTCTTGGATAATGAAAACACTGACTTTAGCATCGGCTGAATCCCACAGTTCATTGTGAAGGCTACATACACATTCAATAACCACTACGATCCTGAATGGAAGTCGAATGCAGGGAGCAGCCCTCGGACGGGATTGCTTGACGCCCAAGAATCTTCATCCTTTTAAACTTGATGCCAATAGGTTGAAAACATCAGTCGTCTACCTGCCCACTTTCTCACATTTGAAGGCTCATTTTGAAAATGTCAACACCTATGAATAATTCCTTCAAAGTATTCAGAATGATGCTTTCGTTATTTTTTCTTCTGGCTGCCATCGTCAGTGTGGAGTCTGTGGAACCCCCACCGATTACCAACAGTACTAAGCCGATCACTCAAGAGTCTGTGAGTCCTGTTCCCCATGGCGCGCCGGTCTCCCAGAATATCACCACGTCTAACCCCGTAGCCGCTCCAGCTCCGAAATTAGCTGCAGGAAAACCTAAATGTGTGGACAAACCAATGTGAGAATTTATATTAAGATATTCCTTTTTTCGCGAAAAACCAATATTTTCAGCTGTGCTACTATGGCACGGGATGGATTCTGTAACATGAAATTCTCAAAACAGGTCATGAAAAGTAACTGTCCAGTATTATGCAAACTCTGTAACTCGTGAATATTGCCAATAAAGGTTCGATGTTGTTGTTGAGGCAGATTTTTTTGTCTTGTGAACAGAGCCGCCGTTGATTGTATTGCTCAAAAGGAGCTTACACTTCCTATCCAACAAGAACTATCTTTCCTCTTGAAGCTTAGAAGGACGAGAAAATGATGGAACATCAGTATGCGCTTCATTTCAGCCACCAAGAAGAGTAGAACCCACAAATCGTTTGAAGACTATCGTCCTAGAACTGTTCAGCTTCCCATACAGGGTAGCCATACAGGGTTTTGATTTTGAGCCCACGGGATTTTGAGGAATAAAGGCACATTGATGGTGTGTTGTGTGCAATTGCAGACACTGCGTCGCGTTGTCTGACACGCCCGAACACACCCCTTAACCGTGGTTCTCGCTGTAGAACTCGTCCAACCCCCTTTTACTTGTTTTTTGAACCTTTCTGTTTCTTTTTATTCGTCGTTTTTCGTGTTTTCTGCTTAAACATTGTACTACTGTAGACCGTACCTATCACTTCCCGTCAAAAACCGGATACCCCAAAATTATCATGAACTGTGCCTTTAATGGTTTGGGACCGAAGTTTCTGCGTCTATCAAAATTAAGACCAGATTTGACATCAGAGAAGATCGCTGGTTAGAGCATTGCTAATATTATCGTCCATTTTATGGAACAAGTCCGTCTGACATACTTTTAGCATCTTGAATAGAGTTTGAAAGCGGAGCTCAGAACCAGTTGAAATGGATACTCCAGTATGTAGTTTTACTCAACTGCAAAGTAAAGGCACAGTTCACGATAAAAATGATTTCTGAGATTTCCCTACTAGTATGAATTCGAAGCTCCCTTTTATACCATATCTACCATTATGATATCGAAAACGCCCTGGATAGGGCACAATAAGGGAGCAAAGATTGTATCGTGTGAACGCCACACCCATAGTGGACGAGTTTCAACAGTTTTGTAAAGGCTGCACTACCTCAAGGAACTCCTGTGTAGGGAATCTAGCAACTCTTCATAACCCATGGTGACAGTGAAAGGCAGTTCTGGACAATTTCGGCTTGATGTAGTCATCTCCTTGAGCAATGAGAGCAAATTAAATCTCGCGAATAGGGGTCTTCAAAAGCTGATGGAGGAACATTCAGCATTGTCTATTGAGCTCAAGTTTTGGCCATGTTGCTCTTGTCGAAACCTAAAACCCACAGACACTTAAGCTTCATCCCAATCGAACGACATTTCAGAATTTTTTTCAGTACAAGGTTTGCCTAAAAACACCTGAACCGACCTCTCGACCTCCCTGCCCATACTTTCGGCGCTCTAGGAAAAAAGGAAATTGTTGAGAATCTGTTAAACAAGTCTGCGATCCTAGACACATCAAATCTCGTCCATAATGATGAATAAGAAGCGACAACATTTCAAAATTCTGTGCCCAGTATGGCTATGAATAAATTTTATTGCTCTTCTAAATGTTTTCTCGAATGGGCGATGACGTATGAGATGATACGCACGCAAAGCAACATAAAACATAGAAAAGCGAAACTCTGGTGATGTCACCATTCTCCGTTTAATTTGGTCATATAAGCAACAGTTCAATCACAGCTTCACCTATTCCTTGCTACTGTAATCCTTTGCTTGCTCGTGGAAGGGAATAACGTGCTCCGGCGCCAACGCCGCAACGCAGCCGCTTCTAGAGCAATCACGTTTGTTTTCGCCGTTCCAGTTGTTTTCTGAGAGAATGACGTGATCGCCTCTCCATGACGACGTTCCAAATCCGGATTCTTCTGATTCTCCACGATTAAGGAAGGTGTATTGCATAACATCATGATTCACAGGCTCATAGGCGAGCATCGTCCTTTATACTCAGAGCGTGACACTAAAAAAGGACATAATCAGAAGTTATGATACCGAGAAAATCCAAACTTGGTCTGATGGAGCTGTTCGTATGCTTAAATGTGGTGTTGAAGTGCCATTATTTTGCTTTCCAAAGAGCACTCTTGGCAACTGTTCAATCGTGAGCTTTCGTGCCTTTCAATATTCCCGTAGATTTTTTTTACGCGAATTCATTTTTTGTCACGAACTAAGCGATCTCTTTGATGGTTGTGAAGGGACGTCATTACCTACAGTCACAAACTGGTTTGCCCCTCAGTATCAAAGCGGGCAATCTATAACAGCAATAAACGCACCAACAGATTCTGGTGAAATACCAGAATCGTTTCTTTTTTCGAATTTTCTCTTCACATTTACATTTTGGAGGTCGTCGATGAAATTTTTCGATCAGCGACTTCGATAA